GTCCCAGGTTGATGGCATAAATTCCAACTGCTAATTACTTGTGTAGTCGCCCGTGTAGACATTTAGATTGGTTCAACTTGTATTTATTTTATTTTATTTCTTATTTATTAGGTTAAATCTGAAGTAAAATTCTTGTCAAAGATTTACGTGAATCTTGAATACAATTTCAAAACAACCGGAAACATCTGTAGGCTTTCTCGTTTCGAATGTTGAATTGAATGAAATGCTAGAATAGAATTAAAAAATTCTCCTGTTAAAGAACGTATCTATGTGTTTTTACTATTAGATCGGGGATAAAATTTTTGAATATGCACGAATCTTGGAATAGAAACAAGACAAACTTAAAAAGCAAAACGAGGAAAGGAAAAGAAAAGCTGACGAGTTGAAAGAGCTTGAAAACCAATCAAGACATTAAGGAAACGTTTATAATCAATCCGGAGAATTTAAAAACCAAAATCAAGAAATGAAGGAAAAATTTGAAAACCAATCGCGTGATTGTCATTAATTCAAATAGTTGTTTCATACTCTCATCAACAGACGTATGGAATTATTCGATATCAGTCAAGCAATGTCTTTTTTACAACGAATAAAACTTCTACCTCACATAACACCAACTGTTATATCAATCACTCCATATTCTGCAAACTCTGGAATGGTGATAACACAGACGATTATAAGTTTATTAAAAGTGTTTGCGAAGAATTGAGAAACAATATAAGCATTATGTATAAATAGTTTTGAACCTGTTGTGAAAAAGTTGTTAGGTTTATTTCATTTTTTTTTCTTTATAATTGTTATATAATCACGAAATTTATTAATTTACATTTTTATTTTTATTTATTTATACAAATTAGCTTTTTTCGATTCTTCACTGATTTCTGAATCAGAAAAAACCGAAATTATTATGGCTCTTTCGTATCTTTGATCACGGCAATTCATATTATTAGCATGAAGATTTTGAATGATACGTTACAAGATAATGATTCTACAAATAATCACTCTAATGTTGCAAATTTCAAAAATCAAGATCAAGCTACTGCATCATTAATGCAAGAATCCACATTGTTGATAAAGAAAGATGCTGAAATTAGAGATGTTGTGCGTAATGATAGAGCTTATTTTTTATTATGGGTTTTTGAAGAAATCTTGGGTAAAGAAAATTGTATTTTGGATATAACGAGAAAAGAAATGCTAACAGGTATGAAATTTGCTAATATTCTTATTTTGTGTTTATTTATGCAATGTGGTTTTTTTAGATCTTATTTCTTTATAGATGAAACTCGCAAAAATATTTCTACCCTTTTGGAAGGGTTTCTTGCATGTTACAAGCGCGCACCTTCGCATGATGATGCGTGCACAATGTATCTTTGGTCCGTCCGTGAAAAACTTTGGACTCTGACTGGAACATTTCCATGAAATAGTATATAATAAACTTAAACCTTAATTTCTAATTAGGAACTTTCAAAATGCTCTTATTTGTAAATATTTCTATTAAAAATCATTTAATATTACTTATTTTTAATATGACAGAAAATGTAATGATTGCCAAATTACTTATTTATAATTAAATATTAAACCTATCATGTCTAACAAAAAGATTTGATTAATTTTATATTTTATCAGACTATTACCAGTTAAAAGCTTATATTTTTACTAACTATAGCTTACCATTATCTTTCTCGGATACGTATCATTTCATTGACGATCACTTCACCGAACACCCTGTCACACAGCGTAAGGAGTAATATTGAACAATAATTATTAATCATCAAACAATCGTTAAATATTAACCATCGCTCTATGTAATGGGATGTTCGGCGAAGCGATTGTCGATGAAAGTATACGTATCCATCTTACAGTTTCATCTTTCAAAGGCTTTGTCTTGAGCCAAGGGTTTCACCTCGTCGTTATATAAAATAGTCAACAACTTACATATAACGATATAATGTATGAATATGTACGTACAGTAGCCAACAAAAGTAACGCCCGATTTGCTGATCGTCACACGTGAGCAAATAAAGGGCTGTGCGTACCCCATTCTTATGAATTTTGGGGCAAATTTTTTTTTATTTTTTGCTTCCTTGATGTCAAAGGAACCAAGCACACGCAAAAAAAATTTTTTTTTTTATGAAAATGCTGCACAAACAAATGACAGAAAAAGAGAAAGGAATGATTCTTGCTTATATCAAGATAATGAGCACTGAACAAGTTGCTCACAAGATTAAGCGTAACCCAACAACAGTTCGAAGGTTTTTACAGAAATACAGGAGGATCAAAAAAATCAAGAATTTACCTTGATCTGGATGTTCCCTCACCCTAAAGAAGCTAGAAAAGACCACCATAGTAAAAAAAGCATTGAAGGAAAGACGTGTGTCACTGCTCAAAATTGTAAAGGATTTAAACCTTCAATGCAGTGTGCAGACTGTAGCTAGGACCTTTCACAATGTTGGACTTCATTCTCGCGTTGCTGCCTTGAAACCTTTTTTGTCAAGTAGCAATATAGAAGGATGTATAGAATGGTGTAATCAAAATAAAAATAAGGATGCTTACTATTGGAGACATATCATTTTTTTGGATGAAATGAGTATAGAAGTAGGTAAACAATCTCGCCAAGTTCGTGTATAGCGTTGCGTGGATAAGAGATACAAACAAGAGTGTTTGCGACTAAATTTTAGAAGTGGAAGGGTCTCGGTAATGGTTTGGTCCTGTTTTATAGATAACATCAAAGGTCTCATGGTATTTTTTGATGATTACAAAGGTCCCAAGCAAAAAATTAATAAAAATATTTATACCAAGGTGTTAAACGACCATCTTATACTGTTTTTAGCTGCAGTCTGTTTGTTAAACGTCTCCTATCTGATTTTTCAGCATGACAATACTCTGATTCATAAGGTGTCAGATTGACTAAATTCGCAAAACATTGATTATATGAATTGGCCTTCACGATCCTCTGACCTTAACCCTATAGAAAATATTTGGAAGATCATGAAGGACAATATTCAGAACCGTGATGACTTCCCGAGGAATAAATCTGACCTTAAAACGGCCTTACAAGAAGCATGTCAAATTTGGATATGTCGGTTCTTCGTGTAGTTGCAGACTCAATGATATGAAGAATTGATGCTATCACAAGTGTAGGAGGTTGCTCAGTAAAGTATTAAATAGATATATAAAAAAAATTTGATGTATTTGTGGCCAAAATTCAATAAATAAAAATTTTATTTTTTGATCAAAAATCGGACATTACTTTTGTTGGCTACTGTACATAGTTAGTGAATCAAGTGGCTGAGTCAGATCAGGGGCTTATAGTTGTTGGTAGAATTGGTTTTATAAATTAATACGGCAATGGCATGTGCCATATTTTTTGCCGTAATGCCAAAATACTTTCAAGCCTGAAATTATTTACTAATTAGATATTTTTTTACCATTATGTATACTAGGAACAGAATTTGTACAATGTACAATATAGTGTATAGTTTATAGGCGATTCAGATGTGGATGTACAAATTCTTGGATCTGATTGGATGATCAATCCTTGTGACTTTATCTCATGATTTCTGTGCCAGGAACTTACTTAAAAGTGCAATGGTATGAGTGATTCTTAATATATGATTGGGTTATCCTTCATCATGACCTTGTGTAGCACCTGAACAATACTTTAAAAGGTAGGTACTATGTCTCTGTATACAAAGTATTAAGATGATTGGTCCACGTGACTTATTCATGGTTCAGTAAAAAAAAAAAAAAAAAACTTATAAATGAGCACATACATCTTTAAAATTAAAGATACAATAATAAACAATAGTAAAAATAATTTTTTTGGCACAAAAATTAGTGACCCAATGTAAATTTAAAGGTCTCAATGCTAAATATTTTGTAATTTTCATTTTTTTTCATCGAATTTTTTATCGGGCAGATAAAATGATAATCAATGATCTTCGAAGACTTAATCGAAAGAATTTGTCAATCATGTAGATATGTTTCATAGATTTTAATGTTTTTTGCAGGGCCTCAGAATTTTGAGTCAGATTCATTGGAACTAAATGATGCTAGCTAACCAACTATATAGCAGTCAGACATTGACCTCATTAATAGATTTTTAGATTCAGTCACTAAATTCAAAACCAATATTCAGATTGCAAGTACTATCGACTTCTTTTATAAAGAGTCATTTTCTTTTACCAGGAATGGATTGCAATGAAAAACATGGTTTCCCGTGACTGAAATGATGTCTGCGTAGATTTCTCCCGTTCCTGGTTTAGCGTGACAACGTTGCGCAGCTACTTATGGTTATACGAAGTGTGAAATAATGTGTACAAATACGGGCTTCTGATTGGGTATGGTTCTAAATGGTATAGTATCCTTGTTTATCTGGCACGGTTATATATACAGGCTTGCGGTGACCATTTTATAAAAATTGCGTCAACAGATTTTGCGCCATAATTAATAAAGAAACCGTTGGACGATTTTTTAAGTAATCATTGATAATACAATAATTTTTTATGAAATTATTGGTTGCTTATAATCCAATTTTATTGGCCATGAATATTTGTTATGTTTGTGTTATGTTTGATACGTATTAAGCAATAATTGAGAGCTATATTAAGAGGTCTATCAAAATGGTGTTCGAGTTAACATTACTTTTTTGATGCAGTTGGTTACTATTTATATCGGTAATATAGTTATAGCACGTACTGAATCTGTGACATAATGCTTACTCGCCACAATAATGATTCGAGAAACCTGTGTCAGGTTTTGTCTATCATGGTCGACAAAATTAACTTTCTATCTTAAAATGTCACCTATGAGATTACTTTTTGTGCTCTATCAAAAAAATTCCTCTCATAATTTTGACATATACTTTTAATTATATTTCTTTTTTAACATGATTTAACCCTAAACAGATTTCATTTGTGATTCGTCACATCTTCATACTAAATGAAAAGGAGACTTAATCTCTTTACAAGTAAACCCTTTTTTGATGTTTACAATTAGGGCAAGTGCGAGAATTATTCTTTTTTGTGTGCAATTATAGAAAATAAGCTTTGTTTGAAAGAATTTTTTCTTTTAAAAACCATATATACTATCATGATTTCCATATAATTGCCCTAATTTGCATTTTCATATAGTATCAGTTTACTATATATAATACCTATAATAATCATCTGCCATTTTATCATATTTGAGATACTAAACTAATTAAGTTAAATATAAATAATCAGATAAGAATATAAAGATATGATACAAAAAAAATAATAATAATAAATGAAGAAATAGCATAATTCTAATTCATTACATGTATGTCTAATGAGTTCAATTTAATTTATTGGTTTATATTCTTTTCTTAAAAGAGAAGTAATGTTTATTTATATAATAAATTTTAATAAAATTTTTTTCAACCAAAAAAGATCCATCTAACTTTGCTTATCTTTTATATTTATTCAATTTTTTTTAGAATTTTTCAAAAAAACATATATACTAAATTTTTTTTTACTAGAAGAAAATGGAAAAACAGAGTAATTTAGTCTAAATCACGAAATCAAATTGGTTTAACCTTATCAAATAATATTAAAATTTTAAATTTAACCAATTAGATTTTTTATTTGACCATTAATAAATAAACTGTATGAATTACAATATAACTTTCCGAGCCTGTTTTGTGTGACAGCATTGCACAGCTACCTTATTTGAAAAATCCTTGACTGTACTAACTTTATACAAATTAACTACTATATTTAAATGCACTACTGATCTTTATATAACTAATTAATTACTTATTTATCCTTTATATATGTAGTTTTCAATTCTGATTCTAATTGTGATAGTTCATCATATGGTTATATAAACACAATATTTTACAAATAAGGTAACTGTGTAATGCAGTTACACTAGAAACTAGGAACAAAAGCAAATATAGTAGTTAATACATAATTCAAGTAACATACAAACAAGAACTGATCTAGTATCTCATTAATATATTGCAACATATAATATATGTATAAACAATTAACTCACATTAGCTATCAGACAATAGTTTACAAGGCATCATCTAATAAATTATCAGGTTATCCAAAAAATTATTTTGCTATTGCCTTTGATGATCATTGATTATTATTTAACAACTCAATAAAATTTTATAAAAAAAAATGAAAAATAGTAAATATCAAGTAAATAGACAAATTAATCGTATTAGGTTACCAATTTTTGAGTTTAAAATTCTTGTTTTTGCTATCATAAGTTATCATAACTATGACATTGCTTAAGGTTTCATTTTTTGGTATTCAACTTATGCTCTGTAATTACATATTCAAATGCATATTGTTACAGGTGAATTGGATAAATTCTAGGATGGAGCAACTGTGACAGATTGTTGCTTCAAAATCATTGACATTATATAACATTACTTGAAAGCAAGGTGAGACAGATATAATTTGGCAATGGCTAAGGTGGTTCTTGAGTAAGTTACCAGATAAGTATAGGGATTTTTTAAAAGAATATTTATATCTATTTCATGCTTGACACTTTTTATTAATTATAACTGTTTTTATTTTTTTATTAATTTATTATAATTTTCTTTAAGTTACAGGAGTATGAAGGGTCAGAAGAGTCATATCCCACTTAACATCAAAATGGTGGGTTTTTATAACAAATTATTAGAGAAGTATACTTGAGAACAATCTTTCTTTCTTGCATTAATGTTTTATTTTCTGTTAATTGTACAATCTCATCTTTTGACTTATGATTCTGTTTTTTAATTACCTTTTCTTTTTTGTAAATCCTGCTAATAGAGCTACAGTTATATCTCTTTAAACATTTTTGTAGGTTGAAGGCTCTGTTGTAAGCTCATGAAAGTAAGTATCATACTTTTTTTTTGTTGCATGTCATATTGATCTACTAAGTCTTTCATTCTTTTTAGGTTTAGTAACAATTGTCACATGTGAGCCCAGGCTTACAATCATAAATGACTTGTTCCAGATCTTGGGGCTTCTTTTGTATATAATGAAAAGAAATCAGGTTACATGATCACTAATTTTGGGTCATAATTTCAACTTCGATTCTGGTCATGTTTTTGGTCATGTTTTTAATGATCATTATACAACAGCTTTAATTAGGTTTCCTTCTAACAACATATATATTTGTCATATAACCAAAATTTGATGAATAAGTTATATAAATCAATCAAATTTAAGATTTTTCAGATAGATATATCAGTTAGGATACTATGATGCATTTAAAGTTGCTTATATAAAAATTTTTAGAAATAATATATTTATTTTTACAAAATTTATTGAAATAGATTATTTAGTGCATTAACTATTTGTCAATAAAAAAAAAAGTCAACTTTAAAAGAAAACTATTGAAATTCTGTTTTTTATATTTGGGGGTATTATGGCACACTATGTTCATATTGTATTATTGCATCTTTACTCCTTATATTATTATAAGTAATGTCAACATTTACTTATATATTATGATTTAGCAACTAGAATCAAAAAAAATTATATTATTTGGGTTCTTTCACATAAAATCAGGACTTAGAGATGAATATTTAATTTGTAAATATCAATCATTAATTATTTTAAAGCAAGTTTGGTAATTATAATAAAATTAGATATTTGCATATAACATGATTTATATATGTATGCATTATATACTAAATCAATCAATAATTTTACATTATTGATATAATTTTAACTGTTTTAGTAATAATAAGTAATAACAAAAATTTAAAACATTCTAATATTAACAGTAATTAAATATTAGTGAATTAAGTTCAAAAGTTTAAAGAATTAAATTTCTTAATAATTTAGCACTATACACATATTAGCATTTCTGAATTATAAAGTTTAAAATAATTTATATATTGCTGATTTATTTTGAATAGTTAGTAATAGTGGCAGCAATAATGAATTAAATTTCAAAAGTTTAAAAATTAAAATTTTGATAATTTAGCATTACATTAATAAATATTAATAAATATATAAAATTTAATATTAAACATTTATAAAACTCAATTGAATAATAAAAAATTTATAAATTATATCATAAATTATTGCTTGATCTAAAATTTTTATTTTGTCAATATGATAAATTCTGAAAATTCAAGTACAAATTCTTGTAATAATCATGAAAACTTAACCTTAGAACAAAATGAAACATATAATCTTGCTTTTTCTTTTGCTAAATTAAATTTAGAAGAATATAATAAAACTGATAATCTTATTTGTCAGCACATTCAGGAATTATGAAAATTTTGGCAAAAAAATGAATGTACCTGTAGAAAATGTAAAAAAAAACCAAATCTTGTTTTGAAAAAATAGGCTTTTGCCAATTCTTTAACTAACAAAAAGAATGTCATAATATGTTTTATAATAATCTAGATACTTGGATTTAGGAACAGCTTGCATCATTTACTTATAATGAATTATTTAATTAAAAAAATTTACAAGAACCAAGTAACTCTACAACAAATAATTATATAAAATATCAATATTATTATAATGCTTAACATAATATATGTTTACCTATCTATTTAGTATTAATTAGAATTTCTTTCTTATGACTTGATCAAATTAAAGTTCATATTAGAAATAATGGAATAATAGAAATAACTCATCACAATACAGGATATATATTTATTAGAACTGATTGTGCTATTATTAATAATCAAACAAAACAAGAGCTTAATAATTTTCTTTAAAATTATGCTAATATTTACAGATATCCATTACCAATTGATATATAAAAAAAAGTATTACACCTATTATTTTACTTTCAACAGACATAACATTACTAAAGTATATAAAGAATATATAACTACACTTAAATCTATTAAATGTGAGGATTATAAAATTATAGCTCTTTCTACATTTTATCAAGTTTAGAATAAAATTACATCTAACATTTAGTTTATGTCTAAAGCATCTGATTTGTGTGACAAATGTAAATAACTTCATGTTAGTATTTATATTACTGATAATATTGAAAGCAAACAAAAATTTCAAGCAGAATATGATTTTCATCAGACAGCTACAATTATCAAACATTAGTACTATAATGAAATTATGAAATTAGTAAATAATTAAGATTTAATACTCTGCATATTTGCTATGACTAGACTCAAAATGTACCAATTTCCTACTTATCACAACAACTGGGAGGTTTGTTTTTTAAATCTCCATTTAATGTTCATCTTTTTGAAATTACTAATATGAGTTTAAAACCTACAATGCAATGAAACTATTTAATTAGTAAACATCAATTTCTAATTAAAACACCTAAAGGTGTCAATACTACTCTAAATATTGTATATAATAGTTTGCTCCATTGGAATTCATCACAAAAAAATCTTAAAGTTACTTGTAACAACTACGGAAGTCAAAACAAAAATAACTTTGTCTTATGGTTTTATTCGTAACTTACTATGATTGGATTTTTTGATATAATTGAAGTTAATTTTATGGTTTCTGGTTATACTAAATTCATATGTGATGCATATTTGGTACAATTAAATCATTTTATTGTAAATTAACCATAATGAGTATAAATCATATTGAAGCTATTATTAATCAATCAAAAAAAGATAAAAGTAATATAGTAATTAGATATGATAAAGAAAATGGAATTTTTATGATTTTGAAATATTTTTTAATCCTTACTTTATTAAATGTAACAATATATGAATATATTGATATTTTTATTTTTATCATAATCAACCTGGAAAGGTTTTTATGACATTAGAAACTAATGAATCGAAAAAAGAAACTATAATTCGTAATAATCTTTCTTTTGATTCATACAAACCTTTAATTATGATTTCTTTAAAACCTATATCTTTAAAACATCAGACACAATTATTTAAAGATATTCATCCATATATACATGACCCACATAAAGATGAGTTATGTTTTGCTTCAAATGAAAATAATAGAAATTCAGATTCAAATTTACTAGATTATTATACTAGTACTATGTATATAAATAATTATATACCTATTAATTCCTCAGTTTCTTTAATTTTAAATATTATGATAGTCGAACCTTGAAAACTGCACACTTCATGAAATATATTAATATTAAAACTATCTCTACTTTCATGTAATACAGTAATAAAGTTCAAACTTATAGAGCTTATAAGGTTTACGAAGATTTGACAGCTACGTAGAATCCTGAAATTCTAAACGGTTGAGTATGTTAACAAACAATAAGGATTGGTAATGCAGCAGACTGCAAGACTGTAATACTGATAACGGATCATGCAGTAATCTAAAATTAGAACAGAAAATCATCGTACGCAAAGATTACTGCGTATAGAACTGTACCAAATTATAATATGTCAACACATGCTAAAATTTTTACTACGAATAAATCGCACACTTGCGAATACAATCCAATAAAAATCTCAATTTCCGTTAGATCGTTTCTAAACCCCGATTTGATGTGAAAGAACCCATTTGATTTGTCTCAGTATGACGGATCAAGCGATACCAAAATTACTCGATTCTCATCAATGTATCATGAGTTATCATCAAAAATATGAGTGCGTCACGTCACAATACCCACCTGCGTCATAATGCCCTACCCCCTTTAACCATCTACTTCATGATTTCAATTCATCACTCCGTTCTTGGTATAAAGAACTAGATAACTGCACGACGTCATCACGCAAAACCAGGAACGGAAGACCCAAAAAAAAAGACCACAACTAATTATTAGATGTGTCTAAGTACTTTACCCTTCAACAAATTACTTTTTTAAAAATTGAGTCGGCCATATGTGTATTGGATTCCATATTAATATGGATTCTTACAACAAACCATGACGGCTGTTCACATGATGCAAGACCACAAGCTTTTACAATTAATATATTATTAGGAATTACATATATCATAATTAATGGATATCTGTGAATACCGGATTCCATAGAATTATAGTAAAATTGCGTAGACTTCACCACGTGGTTTGTTATTATTCTGTTTCAATAAATATTCGTTAAAAAAAAATGGTAATAAAACTTCATCCAATTGTTAGTCCGCACCCGTAATGTATAATACATTCAAGTGAGATAGATCTATTAAAATATTTCCATCGTGCAAATCTCAATAAATCAAAATCTCAATAAATCAAATCTTTCTAATGGACATAACACATAAATCTAATATTTAGTTTAATAAACTCAATTAATAAGATTTTATAATATATATATGTACAGTACAGTATTAATTCATATTCGGCTCTTTGGAAAAGCCTTCATCTTTTTAAAGGTTTTGAATGCTACAGATTTATTTCGCATAATTTACTGTTGAAAATCCACCTTGCTTTATGATGTTTTAAAATCTTGTGTATGATATGAACGTGTTCCCAAAACGTCATGTTGTACATTAATGACAAATTCTCCTATGTCTCTATTTGCTATTGACGAAAATTACAAATTGTTTATACTGCCAAATATCAAATATATTTTTTAGTGTGTCTGCAGTTGTTTATGCACAATAGTGTTAGGTTTAGTCTTCTGATTTGTGTGACAGAAAATTTCTGTTATTGGTATATTTTTAATCTTCGTTAACAACATCTAGATCTTTGACATTTGTGTCTGTTTGTTTATGTGTATGACTCACTTTTCATTTTGAGAAAAAAATATTTTGAACTTTGTTTGAGTTATCTGAATTATTTCGGGTTGTATTTGATTTTTGGTTTCATCACATAAATTTCACCGTTCGTACATACATGCACACGTAATTTAACGTTAATTTCTGATCATTTCTCCATATAGCTACATATATTTATATACACACTTGATTTTAATTTGTCTTTTTTATAACAGAACAAGTTTTTTTATGTATAATTATTTGCACTTTTTGAGCTGAAGTAAGCCAATTTAGTAACATCAGGAATGGAGCATCGTGTATGATAGCACGTAAAAGTATGGTGTGTTGTGCCTGAAGCTGAGTGTATTTAGGTGTAAATTAAATAATCCTGCTAGCATTTTTGAGTAGGCGTAATTTCAGTGACTTAAGTCGCAACCTTAGGCAGGTGCAGAATCTTAATAAGGAATACTATTTAATTGATAGCTTCTCAACGGATTCTGATATTTTAATATGACCCAGGTGAAACGGTTTGTCTAATTAAATAACTGTTCAACTGTTCAGGTCGATATTATAACTTGTACGTGATCATTGTTAATTAGATGTTATACAATATTCTCTTTGCTTATGCCAGCTAACTATAGTAACCAAGATGTACTATATTCACAAATATAATTAGCAATTTGGTTCTTGTTTCAATGTAGACAATAGTACTTTTCATTTCTCAGTGTTATTCTACATAGTACCTTTTGTACGATCTATATAGAAAAAAAACAGAAACATATGTTAGTGGGTTATTATGAATATGCTAATCTTCGTTTAATATGATATCACGAACTTAAATATTTTATTTAATCCAATCGATCTAAATTTATATGCTTTATTTGATAATAAAATATTTAGACTATTCATTAACTATAAGTTTAAAAGTCTGAATTCAAAAATTTAATAAAATTCTGGTATTATTTTTGTAAGCGAATTTTGCCAATACTTTACATTCTTTAGAACTAAGTTGATTACTATAAATATTTAAATGAATTAGAGTTGTGTTTATGCAAAGTGCATTTACTAATATTTCTACTCCATTATAACCAAGTTCATTATTGGTAAGATCTAAAAAAGTTAAAGCAGTGTTTTTACTAAGAACATCTGCTAATATTTGTCCTTCTTTAAAAGTAAATTTATTATCAGAAAGGAATAAAGTAGTTAAAGTAGTATTATTGCAAAGTACATTTGCTAATACTTTTATTCCTTCAAAACCAATATTACTGTTAAAAAAAATTTAAGTAGGTTAAAGTAATGTTATTATTAATTATAAAATGAATACGGTAACGCCTCTATCCAACAAAAATACATACCTATTACCGCTAATATCTAAGAAAGTTAAAGTATTATTTTTATAAAGAGCTTCTGATAATGCTTTTATTCCATCGAAAGTAATTAGATTTTTGCTGAGACTCAAAGAAGTTAAATTAATATTTTTGCAAAGAACTTCCGCTAACACTTTTGCTCCCTTAGAACCAAGCTTATTCTGATAAAGGCTTAATAACCTTAGAGATGTATTTTTACAAAGGGCTTCTGCCAATGACATATCCTCTTTAAAATCAAGTTGATTAGAGCTAATAATTAAAGATGCTAAAGTGGTATTTTTACAAAGAATCTCTGATAACACTTTCACTCCTTCCAAGCTAATTTCATTACATCCAATGTTTAGAGTGCTTAAAACAGTATTCACGTAAAGAACTTCTGCTATCACTTTTGTTCCTTCAAATCCAAATTTATTATTATAAAGACTTATGGAAGTTATAGTAATATTTCTGCGAAGAACTTCTGCCAATACTTTGCTTTCATTAACTCCAAGTCTATTACCGTCAAGACTTAAGGAACTCAGTGTGACATTTTTATAAAGTGCATTTGCAAGTGCTTTCACCCCTTCAAGACCAAATTGATTATAATTAAGATTGAGTGAAGTCAGTGTAGTATTTTGATAAAGCGCTTCCGCAAATGCTTTTACTCCTTCATCACCAAGTTTATTGCTAGAAACATCTAGAGAGGATAGCGTTGTATTTTCACAAAGTGCTTCTGCCAACAATTTTGCTCCTTTAGATCCAAGTCTACAATCATAAAGTTTTAATGAACTTATGTGACCATTCATGCAAAGAACTTCTGATAGTGCTTTTGCTTCTTCAAAACTAAGTTTAACTTGTGAAATATCTAAGGATGCGATAGTAGAGTTTTCATAAAGTGTTTCTGTTAATATTTTTAAAATTCCTGTATTATCATTGAGTTCATCTATATTCAAATACTTAATTTTTTTACTTGTTCGTAATAACATTGCAATTAATGAATCTTTAACTATTTGAACTATATTTTTGGATTTTTGATATTCTTCAAAATAATTCCAAGCGCTATTAGATTCGTATCCCCCAGAAAGCCAATCTACAATTCCTCTTTTTAAATTATAACAGTTGATCGATATAGTGTAAGATGTGTATTCAAATAATAGTTCTTGACCATTTGGAAGTAGTAAATTTAATGGAATTAATGCCGTTTTTTCTTTTTCATTTAATGATAAAAGGTATATTTTTATAAGTTTTTCATTATCACAACGTCTTAATGGTTCACTCCATAATATTGGAACAATAATTCTACACCATTGACGGTTTACAAGAAGGCATGAAAACAAGAATCTATAATAATTTCTAAGATTATTAAATATTTCAAAAAGGCATTCATTTGGTAAAAAATTCATTTTTGAATAAAAAGTAAAAAAAAAAATTGTATTACGCAGATTGTTTAAATGAATGTGTTAAAAGTGTTACAAAATCTTGTTTTGTGCATGCGGTTCTATATTTATCGCATGTGCCTCATACTAACCCCTGCGCCAGATTACAGCTAAGTACGTAATGCCTTTTAATATCGATATTCTTTAAATAATGATAATTAGTCGGTAAATAAATATAATAAATATGTATGCCTTTGCTACGTAAAATTTTACAATACGTACACAATACACAATGTTGGTTTCTTGATAATGCACGTCTGGGGTCAGGTACGTTCATATAATGATCTACATGTTACATAAATTGTATTCTTGATATCTATATAACCACCTAACATTAATTGAATCAAAAAAGTAACCCTAACTGATACGTTCTCCCAATTTTGTCATGGCCGTGATCTACAAAATTTTGGCCCGCATTACATATTTGTTTACATAATTATTGGCTTAACTTTTTGACTTTTTCATTCCAAAAATAGAAATTTTTAAAGAAATAGGCCCGCACAATTATAAAATTAGTACAGGAACATTTTTCACTTAATGGACAGCTGTGATTAGAGTTGATAATTACATTTTACAGTTTTACATTTTGTAATTTTAGTACTAGAATTATGAAAAACTCGGCTAGCATTATTGAATTACAATAGATTCTGCATAATCAAATCAATACGCAAATGATCCATTCAATCACATGGAATCATAATCACGTTTCTTACAAATTACATGAAAACCATCTTATTGAAAGCTTACGCAAAATAACATAAAATTACGTAATTTTACATAGCTGTGATTTCATTAGAAAATTTTCAGTCATTTCAGCCGTCATTTCAGCCGTCATTTCAGCCGTCAATTCTGAACTACATATCAGATTTCATGATCGGGTATCGTAACTATCGGAAAAAATCAAACTTCCGAATAAGAAAACTACTCTATAGTGCTCCAGTAAAAAGTTTTCCTTGAGCGGTTTTACTACATAATTCTCAACATCTAACCTAATATAAGCGTTAGCCTTACAGTTAATGAAATTTCAAACCTGGCACACATTTCAGACGTGACCTGACGATTGGTTAGGTTCTTGATGGTAAGTAAGCTTCATTTGATTGCGTTTCCTGAAGTTTCGAATCATACAGAAATATGATAGATTGGCTATTTCCATGCGTAGTCAAAAAAAAAAAAAAACTGAACATGTAGCTTATCCATATTGTTGATGCAAGCTTAGCTAATATTACTTTCTTACATAAATAATTTGAATCTATAGAACATATTTTTTTATTATGCTTTCATTTATTTGTTGCCTTTATAAAGTAAGAATTACAAGTTAGAATTTTCTTATTAAATTTAGATACGTTGTTAAGCACAATAAATAATCAGTAATTTTACTTCAAGTTTATCTTAGCATGCTCAGTCGCTTGATATGTAATGCAAAATTATTTTATAAAACTTTTAACAGTAAAGATTTGCGATTTTAAATCATTTCCAAACTACTTAGTTAGGTAAAGTTCTTCAATTATGCCAACATAAAAAGCTATTCGATCTCGCGCACAATTTTGCCTGTACGAGTTTGCAAATCCTCATGCCACAACACGTAAAAAATTTTCACTCATTGAAAATTAGAAAGGTATAAATGGACACTTAATTTGCATCAAGTTTTCGTTTGTTAGATTGTGGTCATAATATGTTATAGCATAATTTATGATTTATATAGTATATGTAAATGCAAGTTCATGTATCAAAATGATATAAGAGATTTCATAATAAGAGATAAAAATAAAATGCCGAAAGTTTGAAAAAAAAGAAACCAAAAAAAAAGACGAATATCGATAACTAGAGTGCTAGAGTGTTGGTGCTAGTAATAAAACAGCGCAAGATGCCATACATGCTGCTTGCGCGACATTGCATGTAATTGCTCCCGCTGGAGCTCCGATTCCTCCAGTTATAGTTCCTTCATGAACATAAAAAAAATATTCAGCATTACAATAATAAACGAAAATTCTATTCCTAAAAAAAAAAAAATAATTAGCTAACCTGCTACTAATCCCATGACGGCATAGCATTTTACCCAACCTGCATTACATGCAGACTGACATGACATGTATGCAACAGGACCTGCTTCAGTTATTATAGATGAAAGCAATAAAACCGAAAGAATGATGAAGATGAATTGTCTGGTCATTTTATAGCTATAAATAATGTTGAAACTGTTATCTAAAATAAACAAAAAAAAAACAACAAATTAGAAATGCTTAAGATATTAAATTAATCAATTGCAAGAAAATATAAAATTACTTTCACGACTTGGGAAGAGCTTTTGATACGGTATAGTCAAATTTACGGCGACTTTATATACCGTTTTATTAACATCCAATATAATTAAGAAAATCATTACGTATAATAAAGTAGCAGTTTTTAACTCTAAAAAAAAATAGTCATGGGTATGAAGAGCATAATAAATGTAGTAATGGATGCAAAAAGTTTAATAAAGCATAATAAACTACGTATAAGATAATCTTTACGTAATAACTACAACAAAAAAAGTGATACAAGAAATGTTTTATTAAATTTGATAAAAAAATGAAAATATTATTTCTAAATAAGCACAATTAGAGAAGACTTATTAGTCTATAGAAGTCAATTTTTATCTTTAAAATTCTAGATCAAGATAAATTTAAATTTTGACCGAACAATAAAGAGGGTATGCAATCAACTCTTTCTGTAATGAACTGATGAAAAAACGTTCATTATGGAAAATTACACTTATTGTAATAGTTGAAGAATATTGGACTAAAAAATAAGGTTAAAATATGTATAAATGTGTAGATATAAATTTTAATAAAGATTAACAGCAAGGCTGCCAAAAAGCTAAAAACAGTTTTTTTATTACTATATATATGTATTAATTTATATATTTTATATAATATTTTGATTTTTTTTATTTAATAAAACTTTCTTTAAGCCAAAATGCAATTTAATTAGGTTTTATTAATATTATAATGTTTATTTGATTTCAAACTAACAAGTTTATCTTATACTAAAACTAGTTATAAAACATAAATTACAATTTGTAAAGGTCACTACATATTAATTGAAGGTATTAAAAGCCACAAAAATTTACTTATATTTATAAAGAAAGTTAAATTACTTATTTTTAAAAATTAATCAAAGTAGTTACAATTTTTACATATAAAATGCTAAAAAATAAATGCAATACTAATCAAATTTAACTGTTAACATAGATTTTTAATTGTAATATTTTTCAAAATTTGAGCCCTTATATGTAATAATTTTCACTTTGGACCCTTATATGCAATTGTTTTCATTTTCCAGGCCATTATATGTAAATTCTCCAAGAATTAATACATTAAACAGTAAATACGTGAAAACCTTTTAGTTAGTGATTGCAATTGAATTGCCAATAAACAAATCTGAATAATATAATCACATGTACTCGGCAGAACTGTCTGGTTACCATTTTTTACTATTTTTTGCGAGCAACGCTAGGGTCGTTGTGTCTGTAAACTTTTCCAAGCGGAAACACATTTATGATAATGTGAGTTTGTCGGATAACATAACTTTATACACAAACAACTTGATTAGGTTTATCGCAGACAATTAAGATGACTACTTGTATCTTCATATACAGTTAACAATTGCCTCTTTCATAATGTCAATCAATATGAGTGACGAAAAGTGAAAACCTGTAAATCATTTCACATAATAAGTGAAATGATTTACAGGTTTTCCTTTTTCGGGGGGATTGCTAAAGCCTTGTACCCACGTGATTTCGAAGGTTTAATTATAATTAAGGTTAGGTTAGTTTGGTATTTAGGGTAATAGTAGCTATATAAGTAAAATTGCCTTCCCGACATTTTTTATTAATAGGTTTAGACTGCCGTTTTTCATATTTTTGCGGGTTTTTAATTTTTTAACTTCTTCGGGCTGATCCGTGTAAACAAATTTCATGATTTTTATTGGCTGATCTACATATAAAAAGTCACGTGAGTACAAGGCTTTAGCGGACCCCCTTTTTCGTCACTCATATGTAAATGTAATAGTCTATGTACTTAATTATTCACGTACAATATCTATTGCTAAGTAATAAGAATGGTTCATATGTAACAATCACAATATCAGATATTTCCTTTCTTTACGATGCACACAGTTAAAAATTAACTAGTGACGTATTTTATTTATATTATTAATAGATTTTTAGTGCAAAGCTCAAAATAAAATTAAAAAGTCTTAAGGATTGTTTTATTTGTAAATAGCATTAACTTGAATATTATAATGTTGAAAAATGATTTCGTTTACCACTATAGTTTAGTTTTTCTTATTTTTTCATGATTTATCAAAGCTTCAAAAGCTTCATTCCCCTGGAATTTGTTAAAATTACTAAAGGCTTTGCCTTCTACCGATGGGATTTCTTTTCGGCATTTTGGGCTTAGCATTCGTTTATACCAATGATTTTGGCTAATAACTATAGATTAACAACTATAGATGAGGCTGGCAATAATAATACTATTACTTGTTTACATGATGATGATATGATTAGATAACTGCGTATGTATTCATCAAAGTTATTATTTTAGCATTAGTATTTCTGCCGTAATATGTTGAATAATTACATATTATAAACGGGCAATTTTATGCATATTAGCATAAAAAGATAAATAAAATAAACAGATAATTTTATGTTCGTTTATTGAACACATTTTTAAAACTTATGTCGGGATTTATTATTATCGTTATAAGAAAGATTTCACAACATAAGAACTACCACAATCATGATTCCTGTTATACGTAAATTTTGGTGTTTTTATTTAAGATTTGAATAAATAAATTACTATAAATATTTACAGGGCGAAAACTGGTTTTCACAATGATTTTCATTGTAAAGATAGTTTCGTCAGGATTTAATAATTCCAACCACTTAATTTGGAGTAAATACGTCATTTATTTTATCTGAAATTGGATGTCAAAACATTAACTCTATGTACAGTACTGATTATAATATTATGTGACATTTAGCATGCATACATACGATCAGGATATTATGTCTGTTAAAACCATATACAGTGGATAATGATTACAATTGAGGGTCCGTTGTATAGACTTAAGCCAAGAGGCTGCTTAAATATATTTACTGTTATTGAATAAACATTAAATAAATATTGAATAAACATGCTTAATAAACATGCTTAATGGTTTTCATAATTGTTTTGTGTAAACTGTAAAAATTTTTTCAATACGAATATAAAATTGGGAAACAACTTATCTTGACTTTTATATTATCATTCGCGCTTAACTAAAATGAGCTCAGCAAAATCCGAAACTGAGATTTTGATAGATGATGTTCCGCATGATGTTCCGCATGGAGGAAAAAAAATAGATTATTATGTAGTGTCACCAAACATGAAATGTATGGCGACTTTAAGCAAAGAAGATAAATCAATTGTTGTATGGATTGTTACAGAGACATTTACGAAAGATCTTATCGTCGAACATGACAGTTCATTAAACGTTAATGATCTTGAAAATGCTCTAAATACCGATGAATTTTGTAAAAACCCGGAGTTTAAGTTTGAAAGTCTATTTTCATATGGGTTAGCAGGAATCTCAGATTGTAAACATGTCATATTAAATTTATATAGTGCTGATTTTGAAAATAATTTTGGTTAGTTAAAATTAAGTTATCGATAAAGTTTAATTAGATTCATATTAATAAAGTTTATTTTAACAGCAATTATTGACATCACAACTAAATTATGACAAATATTGTGTGCGCAAGGTTTAGAAGAATTGACATATAGTGAATATGACAATAGAATTGCCTTTCTAGAAAATGGAGATCTAGCAATTGTCAAAGGCAATCCAATTTATCGAGCCTATATCTTTTCAAGATCAAATTCTAGTGGAAAACATAAATGGACTTGCAAAAATAGTATTGAACTCGAAAAATTTCATCTAGGGTCATGCCGTATTTCCAAAAAAGGAAAGTTGTTTATGTGCTTCAGCATGCCCTTTGTAGTTACGCAATGGGACTTGATAACTCAAAAGTTTGATATGCAATATATACTAAATTGGGATTTTGATCCTATGTTGCTTAGGAATTTAAAAATTGAATTGAATGGTGATAATAAATTATTAGCAATGGCCAATTATGCAGGTGGAGGCAAATGGGCAGTCTATATTTATTTAACAAAATCCGGTATGATGGTTGCAAATAGTAGGTATTTTTATGTAAAATTATATAAATATTAATACGTACCATAATTATTAATTTATTTATCAAATTTAGAAATTTTTAATGTGGAATCCTTACTTAATTTCTGTTTTATTGGATCAGGAGAAGAAGAACGGTTGTTTTTTTCTGGCAAATATAAAGACAGTTATGATTCTTATATACTAAATCCACGCATACACTTTCTCGATAAGTCTGACTCTCGTGTCTTATATGATGTTTATCATGCCGCATTTAATGATAAATTAATTGGTCCTATTGATATTAGTCATGATTATAATATTATAGATGATTATATAATAAAAAAAGATAATTATTTGTCGATTCAAAGATTGTCTCAAAATGACATTTGGATAGAATATTTAAAACATAAAGATAAATATTACGGTAACGCGTATACATATTTCAATATAAAAGAAATAAAGGAATTTGCACAAAAGATTTTGGATAAGTATAATGATAAAGAGTACGAATCAGACCAAATTTTAGCTCAAAATTACTCAAATGAACCAAAAGTATACAGTGGTGAGCTATGCACTTGGATTATTGAACATAAAAAATTGGATTATGTATGGGGAATACGATTAAATGCCAAAATTAAGTCTGATAAAGGTGATAATATACAATCTATAGATGATTTTTATTCATATCATGGAATTTATGAAGGAACAGTGCTCGAAAATGAAGACTTATTGTTAGTTTTTCCTACTTGCATACAAATATATACAATAAACTTAGTAAACAATTCTAAAGAAAATTTTTATGGAGAATTGATTTATTGCTGGAGAGATAGATTTGAGTTTAAATATGAAAGAGCAAAAACACCAGAAGATTCCATCATTAGACTAAAGAAACTCCTTACTTCATTTAAAAATAAATTAAATTTGAATTATTACAAATTTGGCTTTGAAATCTTACCACCACCATTTCATCGT